GAAGAATTGATGCTTTTGAACTGTGGTGTTGGAGAAGACTCTTGAGAGTCCCTTGGACTGCAAGGAGATCCAACCAGTCCATCCTAAAGGAGATCAGTCCTGGGTGTTCATTGGAAGGGCTGATGCTGAAGCTGAAACTCCAATACTTTGGCCATCTCATGCAAAGATTTGACTCGTTGGAAAAGACCCTCATGCTGGGAGGGATTGTGGGCAGGAGGAGAAGGGGACGACAGAGGATGAGATGGTTGGGTGGCATCCCCGACTTGATGGGGATGAGTTTGAGTAAACTGGGAATTTGTGATGGACAGGGAGGCCTGGCATGCTGCGATTCATGGGGTCACAAAGAGTCGGACACAGTTGAGTGACTGAACTGAACTGAACTGAACTGAAGAGAGGATTTGAGAATAATATCCAAATTTTCTTGCCTGAGCAGATATAACTATGAAGCTGCCATTAAATAAAAGGAAAAACCTACAGAAATGTGACTGAGAGGAAATACCAAGAGTTGTTTATTTAACAGGTTGAGTTTGAGATACTTATTAGATTTCTGTGTTACTTGTCTAAGGATGCATGAAAAATTACCACTATCTTAGCCTCTTAAAATGGTACCCAATTATTAGCTCATATTTCTCTAGGTCAGAAGTCCAGATGGGTCCTTTGCTAAAGGTTTCACAATGCAAAAATCAAGATCTATACAAACTGGGCTCTTTGTTGATTATGGGAAATAATCCGTTTCTAGGTTAATTCAGGTTGTTATCAAAACTCAGTTCCTTGTGGTTGTAGAACTGAGGTGCCTATAGACTTGCTGGTTGTTATGGGAACAGTCACTCTCTAGTCATTGTTCCTGGTCCTTCCATCTTCATCATGGTAACGCTCCATCAGATTCTTCTCTTGACTCACATCTCTCTGACTTCACCACCTGCATTCTTCTTCTGTTGCCGGCTAGAGGAAGCTCTCTGCTTTTAAAGATCTACTGTGATTTGTTTAGTTCCACTCATATAATTTTTCTTTTTGCAACATAAGAACATAATCAGAGAAGTAACATTGAAGTAGGAGAGAATGAAAAGGTGAAAGTCATGGGAATCATCCTGAAATTCTCACTACTATCATATCCTAGTGTAGAATGTTGAATAAGCAGTTAGATATATCAGCCTGGAGTTTGAGAACAAGGTATCAGAAAGACTTGAAAGTTGGTGTCTAAAGTTTTGATTTCTATCTTCCCTACATGCTCTTTAAGCAGTTTGGAGCCAGTCACCAAGTGACACTTAGCCAAGGACAAGAATGGAGCAATTGACACAAGGTCAGACATTCAATTTACCTAAAAATTACCTGAAAGAAACATTTCAGTGACTTATTTCATCAGGTGGAGCTGTTAAGAATGTCATGGTTGCAGGCATACAGACTTCACTGACTAGACTGGTTGCTATTATGTAGAAGAAATCTACTTCAACCTTGATGGGAGGCAGTAGCTCTTCCCTAAATTGTTCATTTGTTCAATACTAAATGGTCTGACTCTTCTCACCAACTTTAAAAAGGTCTATGCCAAAGAAAAATTATATTCCATATCTTTTATTCCAAGAAACTGGTATCAGATCTAGTGCTAAAATTCAGCACCTACAGATGCAGAAGCCTGGCTGCTCAATGAGTGATATATTGAGCATGTCTTCTGGATGGAATAGTAAGTAGTTAGGAAGAAAGCACTTGGACTTATATCGCTCATCATCTGGTGAATTAATTAACCTGAGGCTTGACTAATGGCAAGCTATTTTACTGTTAAGGGTGATTAATTAACAAATTCTCCCACTTAGGAATTAAATGCTTATATATGCACATATGCATATATCTGTGTATTAATACATCAATGTGTGTACATACATCATATTATTAAGCATAATTATTTAAAATGTTATTTTCAAGTTGTTTTAAAATAGTTTAAATGATTTAAAGGGAAAGCAAAAAAAAAAAAAAAATGCCTCTTCCTGGAAATTTCAGAGGCTGATGAACAGTCCCCATGGTCATGTTAAATTGACATCCAACAGAATGGGAAATGGAGTCAGGTGATGGTTTTCTTGTCAAAATCATTAGGCTTAATGCTAGAGGACACAGGACAAATGAACTGTAAAAGTAATTGTGAGCCACATTTTTTGTCATATGACACAGTCTCCATCTAAGCAGAGGGAACTAGGTGGGTTGGGACTGAAAAGTGGAGCGTACTGTGAACTGCTGGCAGGCCATTTTTGCTATGTCTATTTCAACTTGAATTAGGGAGAAAGAAGAAATGAAGAATGCCTTGTGCTTTAGGATGAATATTGTTGAATCAGATGTTAAGATTGATTTAATAATAATATCAAGAAATCTAAAGGAAAGAGATTAATTCGATGATAATGAATCTGAAATTTGTCTCCATGAAAAGCAGATTATTTGGCTTGATGGTGATTGTGGGATGAGACTCGAGGGGCACAAGCAGCCCTTCCCTAATATTAAAAAAAATTCTTGATAAGAAAGAAAATACTTTTTTTCATTATGTTGAAGGGGAGTATTAGAATGAATGATTGGAAATTAAGAGTATCTAAAACATTCGAAATCAATTCAAGAATGGTCTTTCAAAATATATATACATATATATATATATATATATTTTTTTTTTACTTGAAGTATTTAAACAAAAACTAAGATACCGCTTGTGAAGACTGTTTTCACATAAACTTGATGTCTTTACATATGATATTTCAAACCTCTAAAGTAGTAAGAACCATTGGAAAATACCCTGATGCTGGGAAAGATTGAGGGCAAGAGGAGAATGAGGCAACAGGGATGAGATGATTGGATGATATCACTGAAGCAATGGACGTGAATTTGATCAAACTCCAGCAAATGGTGAAGGACAGGAGAGCCTGTCCAGGTTGCAGTTCATAGGATTGCAAAGTATCGGAATGACTTAGCAACTGAAAAACAATTCCAATGTACTTAAGGTTCATTGTGTTAGTACATAAAACTTACTTCTACATTTTTTTCTGAAGATCTATCATGTATTTATCATAATATCTCCTGCTAGAGGCTCATGTCAGAAAAAATAAACTTTTTTTCCCAAAAATTTATTCTCCGATTTTCTCAAAGGGATGGAACCCCAAATTTTAGTTGGTAACATTTTGCAGCTTCCTATATAGCTAGTTTAAACAAAAAATATGGCCAGTTCATGGTATGCCGAAGTGACATGTAGCGAGTTTCCTAAATCTTTGTCTGAGATAGTTGTTTCCACTTCTGTTTCTTTAACCCCTTTACCTAGTCCTCCTTCCTGCTGGCTTGATATCTACAGATGGAGAGAACTTATTGAATCTGGACTTTTTCTGAAAATGGAGATGATATCCCTGTTGCTGGTGGACGTGTTAATTACCTTGCTCATGGTGAATATTTTACAATGTATACATGTGTAAAATCATCAAGTTAAAAATATACATTAGGCTCTCTGCTCCTGCCCATTCGACAGATAGCCGTAACTTTCGTGCTGTGCCGGCCACAACTCTGAGACAAGATGGTGAAGGTCGGAGTGAACGGATTCGGCCACATCGGGCGCCTGGTCACCAGGGCTGCTTTTAATTCTGGCAAAGTGGACATCGTTGCCATCAATGACCCCTTCACTGACCTTCACTATATGGTCTACATGTTCCAGTATGATTCCACCCATGGCAAGTTCCACTGCACAGTCAAGGCGGAGAATGGGAAGCTCGTCATCCATGGAAAGGCCACCACCATCTTCCAGGAGCAAGATCCCGCCAACATCAAGTGGGGTGATGCTGGTGCTGAGTACGTGGTGGACTCCACTGGGGTCTTCACTACCAAGGAGAAGGCTGGGGCTCACTTGAAGGGTGGCTCCAAGAGGGTCATCATCTCTGCACCTTCTGCCGATGCCCCCATGTTTGTGATGGGCGTGAACCACGAGAAATATAACAACACCATCAAGATTGTCAGCAATGCCTCCTGCACCACCAACTGCTTGGCCCCCCTGGCCAAGGTCATTCATGAACACTTCGGCATCATGGAGGGACTCGTGACCACCGTCCACGTCATCACTGCCACCTAGAAGACTGTGGATGGCCCCTCCAGGAAACTGTGGTGTGATGGCCGAGGGGCTGCCCAGAACATCATTCCTGCTTCTACTGGCGTTGCCAAGGCCATGGGCAAGGTCATCCCTGAGCTCAATAGGAAGCTCACTGGCATGGCCTTCTGCGTCCCCACCCCCAACGTGTCCCTCGTGGGTCTGACCTGCCGCCTGGAGAAACCTGCCAACTATGATGAGATCAAGAAGGTGGTCAAGCAGGCATCAGAGGGCCCTCTGAAGGGCATTCTAGGCTACACTGAGGACCAGGTTGTCTCCTGCGACTTCAACAGCGTCACTCACTCTTCTACCTTCGATGCTGGAGCTGGCATTGCCCTCAAAGACCACTTTGTCAAGATAATTTCCTGGTACGACAGTGAATTTGGCTACAGCAACAGGGTGATGGACCTCATGGTCCACACGGCCTCCAAGGAGTAAGGTCTCTGGACCCCCAGCCCCAGCAGGAGCACGAGAGGAAGAGAGAGTTCCTCAGCTGCTGGGGAGTCCTTGCCCCACCTCCATCCTCCACCACACTGAGAATCTCCCGACCTCCACAGTTTCCATCCCCAAGGCCCTGAGGAAGGGGAGGGGCTTAGGGAGCCCTGCCTTGTCGTGTACCATCAATAAAAGTACCCTATACCTCCCCCCAAAATAAATAAAATATACATTAAAAATATACAATTTTAATTTTCAACTCTACTTCAATAAAGTTAGATAAAAAAGATACAAGGAGCCTGAATGTCTCAGAACTTTATTGAGCAAAACTCATTGCCTGTATCCAGACTTTTTCATGAGAGAAAAATAAGCTATCTTTTATACTACTGTTGTTTTTTGTCTGTGGCATTTGAAATTTAATTATTTACTGATATATAGTTGTATGAAAAACCTACAGTCAATCCTTCAGCAATTCTGAATTGTTAATAAAAATTTATCATAGCAGGCAGAAAATATTATGAAAATATTCAATTTTATATTTTTTAATATTATTTTCAATTTGTTTAAAATGTATACTCTTTTTCAACTTGCAGATATGAAAGCTGCAGTTTATTTATTTATTTATTTTTTTTCAAAAAAAGCAGTTAGTTGTATGACAGTTGTATTTAGCATCTTCAACATTCACAGTATAGACACATATATTTGGGAGATCTACCAGATAACTAAAACTGAACCAATACTCAGTATTCCTGGGGACTCAAGAACCCTCTGGGGAGAGTCCAAGCAGATTCAACCATATATTTAATATATGAATACATACTCTACTGACATCCTCATGGGACTCTGCAACATTGTGATTTAGTGACTTTCTAGCTGTTCACCTCAAAAGACTATTTTGATTCTATATTTTTGATGGAAAGAATATCACATGTTAGAGTAAATTTATTGTACAGATATTAAAAAGCAATAATATTTCTTTTAAAAACATCCTGTTGATATCTCCTGTAGATATGAAATGTTTTATGTAATTGACGTAGCATTGCCAATAGACCATGGCAACCTATCTAGCACTGTCCTTTAAATGAACTTTACATAAGCCCAAGAAAATACCTGAGATGAAGAAAAAGTATATTTTATAGGTTCAGGCATGTTTGACCAAATTCCAAGACTTACTCTTTAGAAAATCACTGAGATAATTCTCTAGGACCCATAGTCCACCTTCTTTACAGAGAAGTCTCTGATCATTTGCAATTTAGGTTAAATATGACTTAACATAGCCTGGAAATTAATTTTTCTCCAAACTCCCAAAACATACTAAATTTTATTCAAAACATTTAAAATTGACTCTAATATTCTTATATTAATATGTATATAAACATAATGTTCTGGATAGCAAACACAGATAAGCTTTTTGTTTCAAGATAATTGTTGAACACTAGAGTAGCATATCAGAGACACATGGAGGAGATTTTTTTTTCAAAACACATGTGTCTGGCTTCCACACATAGCTTACTGAATCAAAACCAAAGCGTTGTAGCCTAATAAACTCATTTGTTTCTCAAAAGAATGGAGCCTTCAAATTTTGGCTGGTCACATGTCTACCCAGAATGAAAACCACTTTGCAGTATTGTTTATAGCTAGCTTTGGCTACATAATATCCCAGATGATTCATGGACCCACCAACACTTAGAATTGCTCTTCAGGGCTTCAAATTAGCCTAAATCTAAGCGCTAACTGAGATTCTCCCCTTTGGGACCCTGACAAGTCTTGGCACACACTCAACTACTGGGAGCTATTAAAAATGCAAAAATAGAATCCCTCTACGAAACAAGCTGTAGAACAAAATTTCAAGCTGCCTTTCTCAGTTGAAATTTTTAAAAGCATATTATGTAGTGAAACCTGAAATAAAGACATATAAGGCTCCACTTGAGTTTTTAAATGAAAGAGAATAAAAATGAAATGCAGTATTAGGAGTTCATTTGAAAGGTCAGCAAGCTCTGATCTCTTTACAGATTCAGTGCTACTTTGTCATTGTCTATAATTGCAAACTAATAGCATAACATATGCCTGAAGCCTGTGATCCTTGGGTACCACTCGATTTTAAATCAGAGGGATTCAGAGATGTTCACTCTGCAGAAACTGCTGGCAGACAAAAAAGGAATGAATGAAGCTCTTTGGAAATACTTCTCAAGAACTGTGAAAACTTTTTTTTTTTCTTTTAGTTATGTGCATATTTCACTTAACCAGAGTTGATTTTTCAACCATACCATAACTGTGGAACTTCCCAGGTGACTCAGTGGTAAAGAATCCACCTGCCAAGGAAGGAGATGCAGGAGACGTTGGTTTGATCCCTAGGTGGGGAAGATCCTTTGGGGTAGGAAATGGCAACCCTTTCCTGTATTCTTGCCTGGAAAATTCCATGGACAGAGGAGCCTGGCAGGCTATACAGTCCATGGGGTTGCAAAGAGTCGGACTCAGCTGAGACACAGCACACACACACACCTTAACTGTAGATTTTGTATGTATGTATTTTAACTATTACATATGTAACTGAACCTGTTTGATCTTGGAAATAAGATTAATTATATGTCACAGTAATTTGTACAAAATTCAAAGGATGTTTCTATTATTTAGCCTGTGGAATAATTTGTGTTTCTAGTAAACTGAGATAGAAGGGGTATACCAAATACTTCATCATTTCTGTTTAAATAAAACGTAAGGACAAAGGATTAAAATGTGCTTTTAATACAGCTCTGATCCATCCAGATCTGTATTTTGGCTGTGTAGTCAAACTAGAATGCTGAAGAGTTAGAGAGTAATAATGAAGGAATTAATGACAACTCTTTACATATGTATATGTGTGTATGAATGTATTAATGAACTTATCTGTGGTCTTTCAAGAGTTATCAAGCTAATGCTATGGTTGATTTACAAGCCTCTTCTTGATTAAATCCCAGCTAAACTTTTCCAATGGCTTATTAATAGAGTATATAAAATACAGTGATGATAGTGCAACCTGTAGTTAGCCGAGAATAATCATTTTCAGGTTAATAAGAGGGAAAGTCATTGGAAAGCCAGAGAGCTAAGTTTGCTTTGGTGATTTTCTCTGATATTTTGAGAAATAGAATCAGAATTTTTACTGATATTTGCATGTGTCACAGGGTCCCTTTGAGCACTCCAGTGAAGTAAACCTACCAGTTCTTTGGCTTGATGTTAGGTGTTCAGGGAGATGAGTGATTTCTTGTAAGTGAATTATACCAAGAGAAGTGGGATGCTTTTTCGAAGCATACAAATATAAATAGGGCAGTTTACATTGGTGCTGTAAGAAAACACCTCGGTTAGAAGGGTCCTGTGGTTATCTTGTGAACTTCAGTCAATAAGAGTATTTGTTCTGTTATACTTAAAGAGAAGCGGCGGCTAGAAGAATTTTCATCTTGTGGTCCAACAAGCTGAGGATACCTCAGAAGTTCTCAGTTTTGGCACTGTGGACATTTTGAGTCAGATCTCTTTGTTGCAGGGACTGGCTTCTGAATCATAGGGTAGGGGCAGCATCTTGCCCTCCAACCACCATATAAGATGTTAACAGCCTCTCACACACTCACTGTGAGAACCAAGACGTGTCTCCATACATTGCCTAATATCCCCTGGGGAAAAGGTATAACTACCTTGCATTAAGAACTACCTAGTTATGTAATTACCAAACTCAAGAGAATTTTCAGGAATGCGACCTTCTTGGTCTTCAATAACTTCTCATGGAGTGAGCATAATCTGTGAGATTAAGAAAATATGTTGACACAAAGATCAACTAATTCTTTTGAAATGCTTCAGAACACTTTTTGGTTGTAAACTCAGCAGGAGAGGTTTATCTTGTCCATTGCAATCATTAGAAGCAAAACAGGACATCTGACATTACACCATTACATAGCATCAGAGATTAGTGAGATTATATTCTTGTTAAGAAAATAAGATGGTATTTATTGAGCATAAATATCAAGATCTTAGGGAATTTTGTTAAAATAGAATAAATACTTTTATTAGGATAAAAATGAATATAATTGCTAAGATACTTAAGTCTTGTTAACGCTATGAAAATTGGAGCAAGTATTAGTAGGTCAGACAAGAATCTATTTTATAAAGACTTTTTATTCTTTTATAAAGAATCTATTTTTAAAGAAGAGAGTTCAGATACTGCAACAATGCTCTATTCCTCCCTGTATCTACTTAGCCCCCAATTTCTTAAGGATATAAGCATCTTGATTATAGAATCTTATTTACCCTTGTCTTCTTCATCTTAAAATACCTAGCATTTTGCCTGGCTCAAAATATTCGGTTATTAAATGTTTGTTGAATTAATGAATTATGATACTAAATCTTATAATTTATTTCAAATTAGTTTCTTCCTATTTATTCCCATGGTTTTAGTTAAGCTTGCAACTATATCTTGCTTGCACTGATTTTTCTGCTTCCAATTTCACTTTCCACCATCCTTCTAACAGTTGTTTTTGTTTTGTTTTTAACTCATTTTGGATTATGTAATTGCCTTCATTTAAACTCACTATTGACTTCCTATCACCAAGAGAAAAGTCTAAGACCTTTGGTAATAAGCATATTTAAAAATTTCAATCTAGCCCCTTCCTACTATTGCTACCTCATCCCCTGCTACTTACCCATATGCTCAGATATCCCAGCCATTCTGTCTTCATGGCAATTCTTGGAAGGATTCAGGCTTTCTTGCATCTCTGTGACTATACTCATGCTATTCCCTCAGTATGGATTATCCTTTGCCTCTTGCCTGACTTGACCTAGTTCTAAAATATATGCTTAACCACTTGATTCTTAGGCAAAAACCCATCTTCTCTGCTTGGAACATCCTAGCCGAACCAAATCTTTCTTCCATCTTTCACTGCACTTTGTTTTAATACAGTAGCCCTCCCACTCCTTCTCTGTGGGTTTGCTTTCTGTGGTTCGAGTTACCTGTGGTCAGCAGTGGTCCAAAAATATTATATTAAAAATTCCAGAAATAAATAACTTAATGATTTTTAATTGCTAGAGACCACATTTACTTAACTTTCTATACTACATATTATTATAATCATTCCATTTTATTATTAGCTATTGCTGCTAATCTCTTACTATGCCTCATTTATAAATTAAACTTTATCACAAGCATGAATGTATAGGATATAGCATAGCATATATAGGGTAT